ACTGTACCAATACACACTTCTGTGTTCTTTGTTACTGCAATTACATGCTCTTCTATATTCAGCCTGTTTAATGGAAAGGCACACTTCTGCTAGTTTATACAACTATCTCTATCTCTATTGATAAATAGATAGATAGATAGATAGATAGATAGATAGATAGATAGATAGATAGATAGATAGATAGATAGATAGATAATTTTAACAACGACAACACAGTCAACCGTTATCTGTTTCCTGCCATGGTCTTCACACTGTGCATTATCTGTTCATGATCTGTTCAAAGCTGTCTGACCCAGTGCACTCTATCTATTCAGCCCATGTGTAATACAATTTCCTATATTCATCTCTAATTATGTGTGTCCGTTTCTATGACTTCATTGCCTTATTTATTTGCACAACTACTCTTTCAGGGTGGGTCCTTTTCCCTTGATAAGCACTACTTTTTATTTGAATAATCAAAATAAGAGATTGGGTTATATAAGAAAAGTCCTTAAAGTGAACCTGTGCTTTGCCGTGATGGGGAACCTTTGCTCTGTTCAGCTGCTTGGAGTGAGAAGAGGAAGCTCTGTGAATGTTAAATGAGCATCATCGTTAGGGCATGTGAGTTTCTCCCAACATGGCTCCCCTGTTTCAATTGGCTGCTTAATTGTCATTCAGTGTTGCAGTCTCATCCATTATGCATTACAAGGGATCTGTTAACTGCACGGATTAGTGAAACATGATGCTGTGAAGAATCTAAAACCAAATTGGCATGCTGTATTGTATACTTGGGTTCAAAGTTTTGCATTGCAAAGCAATCTAAGGCCCCTTTCACAGGGCCTGATCAGGAGGGGGTCCAGACACAGATCCCCTGCTGATCAGAACAGATGTGACCTTTGTGATATCCATGTCTGTTCAGTTTTAAAAAAAATTAAAAATTACCCGACCCATGTTGGTCTATGGAGAAATGGATGGAAATGGACTTACCCCTGATCCAGCATGATCAGGTCCAGCGAAATAGAACTCTGATCCATTTGTTTTTCGGAACCTGGCCAGAGCCTGTCCATTTAGTTCCAGATGCCCATAGACTAACATTGTGCTTTTAGTGAGACCTGCCTGGAAAACTGACAGATGGACCTGATCGGCAAGCTCGTTTGAAAGGACTCTTAAAATGAGTGTAAACCCTAAATGAATGTCACCTTTAAAAAAAAAACCTTTTATACACCTTTTGTTGCATCTCAGTGCTGCTGATATCCTGTGGCCTCTTTGCATGGCATTTCTTAATGGTAACAAGAGTGGACCATGACTTAATGGTAACAAGAGTGGACCATGACTTAATGGTAACAAGAGTGGACCATGACTTAACAGTAACAAGAGTGGACCATAGCTTAATGGTAACAAGAGTGGACCATAGCTTAATGGTAACAAGAGTGGACCATGAGTTAATGGTAACAAGCGTGGACCATGACTTAATAGTAACAAGAATGGACCATAGCTTAATGGTAACAAGAGTGGACCGTGGCTTAATGGTAATAAGAGTGGACCGTGACTTAATAGTAACAAGAGTGGACCATAGCTTAATGGTATTAAGAGTGGACCATGACTTAATGGTAACAAGAGTGGACCATAGCTTAATGGTAACAAGAGTGGACCGTGGCTTAATGGTGACAGGAGTGGACCACGACTTTGTATTTAAACAACTGCTGGTAGTCACCTTTGAACAAGGGCCTTCACTGGCAGGAGCACCAGATATTATAATAATGAAAGCTGCATATTTAAAAATACTGAAAAGCAATATGTTAAAGGTTAAATAAGATTTTAGTGATTGGATTTACACTTACATTAGATTCAAGATGTGAGGAATCCTTTTCAGACTGCATTGTATATGTAGGTTCAGAGTTATTCAATGCAAAGCATTCTTAACAATTCCTAAGCTTTTATTGTTTTTAATGAAATACAAATGTTTTCAGAGACTTGTTTCCCCCTTTAATGCAGTTTGTGCTTTTCCGTGGTTTGCTTTGTTGGGCTGTGAATAATGGAAATCATTTGCTGTGTCGTGCGCCATGTCATGTTATGTTAACGTTATATGTGGTTTTTATATGATACCTATGTATTTATTTTGTCTTTCAGGAAGAGCTGCTGCAAAGGCTATAAATTTGTCCTTGGACAATGCATTCCTGAAGGTAAACATTTTATTACCCTGAATTTGCTGATCACGTCATTTAAAGGCGAGGTCCACTCAAAACTTAACAGTAAAAGTATAATTAAACTCTTGGGGGTTTTTTTGCATTTATCTACTGCTAGCAAAATAATAAAGTTACCAAAAAGGTAATTACTTACCTCTGCCACTGCCGCTCGCTCCCGTCTGAAGATCTGGAGCTTCTCGAGCAGCCAAGCAGGATGGTGGGACGGGCGCATGCGCAGTACAGATCTTTGGGAGGGAGAAGAGAAGAGACACAGTGTAAGTAAATGCACTCAGCCAGGAGCTTGCACGTCGGACAGACACTGTGGGACATAGAAGACACATCAGTCAGTGGTGGATCAGAGACCTGCACCAGCTCTGGAGGGATTGCTGAATACAAGTGGAAGGTGATCGGATCAAGAGGCATCATTTAAAGGAGAACTATGGGGTTAGGGATTTTCCCCATAGTTCTTCTTAGGGTAACGGGAGAACACAAACTAGCGTCCTCCCTTCACACAAAGCTCAGTATACCGCGAGCTATAGCTTGCGGTATACTGAGACAATACAGCCGGAACGGATCCCGACAATTATGTCTGGATCCACCCAGCTGCGTGAATGACAGCTGGCTGTGCCTATCTAGAGGCAGAGCCAGCTGTACCCGCCCCCTCCCCCGTCCGATCCGCCAGTCAGCGCTGGAGGATCGGAGAGGGGAGGGGGAATCCAGTCCCTCCCCTGTCACAGCTCTCTGCCGGCACAGGATCAAGAAGTGAGCGAGCGCCGGTATGTGTTCGCTCACTAGCCGATCTACTGAGCCGACCTGTGACAGTTTCATTGTCACAGGTCGGCTCAGATTATGAGGCAGAGTGAAAATCACTCACCTCATAATTCTCCTTTAAGGTAAGTCCTTAAAGCAGCATGGGGGAGAGGGGAAATTGTGACTTTAATGTCACTTTAAGTTCAAGTGGGATATTGCCGGGTTGACTCATCACAAAGGCAAACATGGGATCCATTTTCTATGATTTTAAAGAACAGCTGGGCTGAGACCTCCTCACTATAGCCATTGGAGAATGTGTAGGTGGAAAATGAGGGAGAGAGAAACAGGGAGTTGTAGGAAGTTTGTGGGCGGTTGAAATCTGCATCTATCCAAAACCATATAAAAAGTGAAACTCCAAGAAAAAATGATCTATACCTAAACTATGTTTATTGAAAGGATTCAGCAAACGTCATTGAAGATTGCTACCTTTCTTTGGTTTAGGAGAAAGTAATACAAGCATTCTCTTGCCTTTTCTCAAACTGACCACTAAGTGGGACAGTCTGCCTTCATTATCATCACCTGATCAGTCTACATGCTGTAATAGAAAACAAAACAGTCAATACATCCTTTAAAATGGGCTCTTTGAAAGTATCTAACTCAAAATGAAGCTCCAAATACAGAGAATGGTTGTAATTTATCATCAAGCTGCGTGCAAACATCTGTGGAAAAAATAGAGAGCCAATTGCATGAAAAGGAAATTAGATTTCTGAGAGCATTCTTTACACACTGTACAGCACCTCTCTGAGGGTGTTGCCATTGCAATTCTGAAAGATATTTGCAAAGTGGAATTATTTTTAGCATATTTGAAAATCGTGTTTCTAAAGCTCAGACTTTTTTGGGGTAGATTGGTGAAGGGTTAGAACCTGTCATGTTTTTGTTGCTGGAAGTAGAGGAAAGATTTGGTTCTCACTCAGGTCTTAAGCAGTGCAGAGGGAGAGATTATCCCTAAGCAGCTCTCTTTTGAGATTGGTGGCTGAAGGTTGGCTGTTTGCTCTTAATGGGTGTGCAAGAAGAAAAGCTCCAAAAGCAGAATGTATAAAGTCCATATTTCATTTTATTCAGTCTCATATTATAAAAACACATTGCATTTTGTGAGTTTAAAGGGCCCCCCTTTATCAGAGCTACAAGTAACACATAAAAGATTTTGCTCAGTATACAGTATTGACTCTTGTGTAGAATAGTGTAGAATAGGATAGGATCAACATAAATATATAGGTATTTGTATAAGGTATTATATAAGTATTCTAAAACTAAGTCAACTTATGGGGATACCATACAAAATTCTATAATAATTATTATTATAGATTATTGATAATCTCAGGCCAATCTCCTTACTCCCATTCACCTGCAAACTCCGAGAACACCTAATCTACAGCCGCTTGAGCTGCCACTTCACTGATGACTAGCTCCTTAACCACTTACAGTCCGGCTTTGGCCCCCAACACTCCACTGAAACCGCCCTCCTAAAACTCACTAATGACTTACTAACTGCTAAAAGCAATGGCCACTACTCCTTACTCTTGCAATTAGACCTTTCTAGCTACACCTCCTCTCTTGGTCAGTTGATAACCTCACATGGCTTCCAATACCATCTCTATACTGACACTCAGATATACAGGTGAAACTCGAATAATTAGAATATCGTGCAAAGTTCATTTATTTCACTAATGCAACTTAAAAGGTGAAACTAATATATGAGATAGACTCATTACATGCAAAGCAAGATAATTCAAGCCGTGATTTGTCATAATTGTGATGATTATGGCTTACAGCTCATGAAAACCCCAAGAACCCCAAATCCACAACCTCAAAAAAGTAGATTATTACATGCAATCAATAAAACAAGGATTGTACGTAGAACAATATGGGACCTCTGAAAAGTACAAGCATGCATATGTACTCAGTACTTGGTTTGGGCCCCTTTTGCAGAACTTACTGCAATTACTTGTCCACGATATTCTAATTATTCGAGTTTCATCTGTATCTCTCCACTCCACAACTCACCCCTTCAGTGTCCTTGCGCGTCACTAACTTACTAACTGACACAACTGGGCTCTTCCCCCCCCCCCCCCCCCCCCATGCACCTTCCTCCAACTTTTCCATTGAGATTGATAGCACAACTATCCCTCCCAACCCCCATGCCAAGGAGCTAGGCGAAATCCTGGACTCTGACATTACCTTTCTGCTCCACCTCCAATCACTATCCAAATCCTGCCTTCTTCACCTTCATAACATCTCCAAAATACGCCCCTTCCTCACCAATTAAACCTCAAAACTGCTTATCCATTCAATTGTTATCTTTCGTCTTGACTATTGCAACTCCCTCCTCATTGGCCTTCCACTACACAGGATATCCCCCTTCAGTCTATCATGAATGCTGCTGCTAGACTTATCCACCTAACCAACCGCTCAGTGTCTGCAACCCCCCTCTGCCTATCCCTTCACTGGCTTCCAATAGCCCAAAGGATAAAATTCTAAATTTTAATAACTTACAAAGCCATCTACAACTCTGCCCCCGGCTCCACAACTCCTCCCCCAGCTATTTTTCCAACCTTGTCCCAAAGTATCACCCTAACTGTCCTCTTCGCTCCTCCCAAGACCTCCTGCTCTTTAGCTCCCTCGTCAACGCCTCCAATGCTCACCTCCAGGACATCTATAGAGTCACTCCCATCCTCTGGAACTTCCTACCCCAACCTGTCCCGACTATCTCCTACCTTGCCTGCCTTTAGGCAATCCCTGAAGACTCATCTCTTCAGGGAAGCCTACCCCACCTTAGCCTAACCACTGAACTTTTACTTTCCCAAACAACTCATCCCCACACAGCTACCACCTCTTGTATCACTTGCCCCTCTCTTTTAGATTGTAAGCTCTCACGGGCAGGGCCCTCCTCACCATCTGGTCTTGAATTGCAATAATAATAATAATCATCATCATCATTATAATAATATAGATCATTTTAGATTTTTTTTAGATTATCTTCCCATAATTCCTATCTGTACGTGATGTCTTCATTGTGCAAGGTATCCCTTTATGTTACTGATGAAGGGGGACCCTTTGAACGCCTGAAACATGATGAATTTTTATAATATAAAATGTGGACTTTATCGGTTCTGCTTTTGGCACTTTTCACCTTGCACATTCAGATTTTTACTATCAATTCATAAAGGAGCTACTTTCTTTTGCAACACATTTCAAAATGAATCAATGTGATGTTTTGTTAGTCAAATTCCCACCCATACTCTTTGAATGCAGCACCTTAAATTGTATGTAAACCCTAACAATCAATTTATTTATTTTTTATTATTTATTTATTTATGTATTTATTTGTATTTGCTCTCTCTTGGTCTGTTTAAATATACTTTTAAAAACATGTTGTTCTATTTGTTTGATAAGTACAAAAAAGAACGTCTTCAACCTGCCTGAAATTCTGTGTTTTTCTGTGTCCTCTGCATTGTTAAATCATTAAGTAAATAGGATCATTAAGTAAAACTTAGGGGAAAAAATCTGCAAAAAGAAAACTAATGCAGCCACCACATCTAACACTGGTAAGCTGCAACATATTACATTTTTTAAATTAAACTTTACCCAACCAGTATCACTTCTGGCTGAGTGTACTAATGAGTAACCCCTCCAGTGCCCTCAAGCCTAATGCCCAGCTGTCAGGCTCAGTTCTGCTGATCCCGAACCAAAGCTCTTCACGCGCTAAGCTCTCTCCCGAGCCTCTGTGGATGTAACGGCGAGTTTGAGGCGTTAAAACTTTCTTTGGCATCTAGACCCTGGTTGAGTCATAACTAACATATTAAACTTCATTGCCAGCTTACACTGAACTCCCTGAAGTGTCAAGCGGTAGATCATATGAAGCATAACTGTTAAAAGCGGTGCACTTGGCATGAAAACTCTTGCGGAGCATCAGAATTTCTGTCTTTCTCTTTCGCTCCGTGTTGACAGCTGCCTCACCATACACTTGTGGACCGGGCCCTGCTATGCGTTCTTGCCCCGGACTAGGTTTCTCTTCTTTGGGAAGCTGAGAAAATAAATTGAAAACTTATTTGATTTTCTAAAAATTCCTTTTTTTAATTCCGAAAATATTTTTCCAGGGAGTAGAAACCAACTTTTTTTAAACCTAGCCCAGAATTTTGTTTAGTTCACATGAAAAGTGCTATCGATGCTGGGTCCCAGTAGGTGGCTTGTATGAAAAACATACTGAGCAAGAAAAACCTGCAAGCCACAAGAGGAAACATATGTGAATTTTCTGTATACTGGTATGTCAATAAAAATATCAGGTTTAAAAAGGAAAACTTGTTGCTGGATATGGTAATTATACGCCAAATAGGACCCTTTAATTAAATTTTGCCATCATCTTGTGTGATTTCGTCTTTTTGTAGTTCTCTCAAAATTTGAAATAATTTCTTGGGTGGAGTGTGGAAGGATTATTGAATCTAATGTACAAACTACCTTCATGTAAAATTTCTCTTCATAAATAAAGTTAGTAAACTTTAAAAAAAAAAGTAAATGTAAAGGTAACAAGTAAAAGTAAACTAAAAATAAAGCAAAGCAAAATTAAAGTGATACCAAACTCAGGATTTAAATCTTAAAAATACATTCAAGTACCTTAACTATTAACAAAAATGTATCTTATTTGCTCTACAGCCGAGTGATACACAAATAAGATAAATTTTTGTTAATAGTTAAAGGAGAACTATGGGGAAAAGTCTTAACCCCATAGTTCTCCCTTGAGGTACTTTAATTAATTTTTAAGATTTAACTCCTGAATTTAGTGTCACATTAATCCTTTTCTTTGCAGGGTGCACTTTAATTTTTTCAATCTATTGAAAGAGTCCATTTAGAAAATCTTCACCAGCACACTTTCTCATAAAACAAATGACATCAGCAAGAGTCCTCACAGTCCTTTCTTCTTTTTTCGCATTTTTGTTAACCTGTTCTTTTAAACAGTCACATAAAAAATGACTACAGTAATTACTCAAAATAGAAACTTACTGTAATAGTTTCTTTTGAAATGAATCGCAACTGGTTTCAGTGCCATTTGAGTCATTTGCACATTTCAGCTACGAGCTTTTTTTATTCAGCAATAACTTTTATTACTGATGTGAGACATATATAGAAAATAAATATCTAAACAAAAAATGTTTTTTTTTGTGTTGGGGGTGAGTAAACAAGTCTTGCTTTTGACCATATTTTCTAAATTATTTAATTTTATATATATTTTAAAAAGAAGTTAAAAAACAATTATCAAATAAATGCAAACTTATTTTATTGATTTTTTTTCATTGTGGAATTCTTTAGGAGGTCTCTGGCGAGGTTACAGCTTTTTTTCTACTTTGACCTGGGAACATTTTGAAATAAGTGCTGCTATAAACATTTCTAACTTTACTCTGCAAATTGTCCAGTTTATACTGACATTACCACAATTGTTTGTATTCGCAAAATAAATTAAAAGTTTTTTAGATTATTTTTCCATGTGGTTTTATAATGCTTACAGCCTTACACTAAAGAAAACGAAAACACAAAAAGTTCACATGAACAGTATAAAAATGTGAATTTAAAAAGGTAGTAGGCAGAGGAGGAAGGAGGTAATCAGGGCAAGTTAGGGGTGAAAGGGGTCATAAACGGTTAAATAAGAAGTAACTTTTAATTAAAAGAAAAAAGAAGCCTTTTATTTTTCTACTTTTAGAGAATCTTCAGCAACTGATTCCTGATTGGCTGGAAAGCCGGCTCCATGCTCCCTCATCACAAGTGACAAGGGAGCATGGAGCCGGCTTCCCGGCCAATCAGGAAGCCAGGCAACGTGTAATGACTCGCTGCCCGGCTTCCTCATACCGGAAGTATCAAGCTAGGCATCGGAGCATTTGGGCGAGTACGAGTACTCGCCCAAATACTCGGCACCGATACTTGTATCGGTATCGGTGGATCTCTGGTTACTATGAACAAGAACAGTATGGTTTCTGTTGTTATTTTAGTCATGGTCTATACCAATATAAATTAAATAATAATTAAATAACTATTTGCCCTTCACAGATTATGACGTGTGCTCGGAAGCGCCATGTGAACAGCAGTGTACGGATAACTTTGGTCGAGTCCTGTGCACTTGTTATTCTGGCTATCAGTATGACCGTGAGAGGCATAGGAACAGAGAGAAGCCGTATTGCCTCGGTAAGTGTAATGCATGTCAACAGCTGTCTGCTCTAGCTAGTCTAATCATAAAGGAAAAGCATGGTGTTGTTATAGATATTTTGTTTATCATGTTCAAGAAATGAAATTAAACATGTCCTTTTTACACATTTTTGTTAGGTTAGTATGGAACAATGCATAGGGAAATGTCTTATTTACCACTTGTCGCCTGCAGGTGGCCTACTGAAGTCAGTTCTCCACCACCACGGCTGATCCGTCTTACTACTATGCTATAGATTTATTCTGCTCTTCCGTGCATACAGTATATGACCAAAGATTTGTGGACAACTGACCACCACACAAATATGAGCTTGTTGGACGTCCTGTTCCAAAATCATTGGTATTAATATGAAGTAGCCGCACTTTCCTTTATGGCTACATCAGCTTTCACTCTTTCAGGAAGGCTTTTATCAAGATTTTGGAGGGTGTCTGTGGGAATGTGTGTCCATTCAACCTGAAGAGCTTTTGTGAGATCAGGTACTGATGTTGGATAATAACACCAAAATCAGAGTTCCTATATATCCCAAAGGTGTTTAGTAAGATTGAGGTCAGGGCTCTCGAGTTCTTGCACACCAAACTTATCAAACCATGTCTTTATGGAGCTGGCTTTGCTCTCAGGGGCACAGTAATAGGGCCTCCTCAAACTGTTACCACAAGTTTGGAAGTGCACAATTGTCTAAAATATATTTTTTTGCTGTAGTATTAAAGCGGACCGTTACCCATGTCTTTAACGTAACAGCAAGCACACCTTTTGAAATGTTTAGTAATGACAATCTACAATCACATACTTCTAGATCATTGCCGGCTTTGTATTCTTTGCATTCCTTATTTTTCTTTTCTTCCCCAGTCTTTTGACAGTGGCCATGTTTACTGAGGGCAGATTACTAGCTCTCCTATTACTTCCTGGATTTCTGGCACATGTGACTAGACATGTGACTAGGACATGTGACCATGCACATCATCTCAGGGGAGGAAAATGCCTTTCCCTGAGATCTCATGAGATTACAGATGAGATTTCCCAAAAAGGCTCAGCTGATGACAAGGCAATCCCAGTGTGCATTGCGTTGGAAAACTGAAGTAATTTTGCCCTTTGAAAGCAGGAAATGAATGCTCTGCAAATCTAAGTATATCACAATCACAGCATTTTACACCTGACATGTCTATGTTATTAATCATCATACATAGAAAGATGCATTGGTAGAATTCGATTTTTGAGTGTAAAGATTCGCCTTAATGGTACACGTCACGGAAAACACTTGAACTCAGCACTTTGTAAGTATGTTTTACACTATATGACAAAAAGTATGTGGACACCCACATACTTTTTGTCATATAGTGTTAAAATACAGAAGCTGATACTGATTAATTATTTATAAAGGTGCAGGCTGTGTCTTTCTAGTCCTCACATCTCAACCTAGTCATTCATGGACCTGTAACAAGCATGCAGTCAGGACCCTGGAAACACCTAAAGTCAATAACTTGGAGAGGTGTCCACGTACTGTACGTTTGGCCATACAGTTGTAGGTTTGATGGTTGGGTGTCCACAAGATTTTAGCCATATAGATACAAACAAAGCCACTTTCATATAGTGTACAGCCCAGTGACTCAGAGAAGGAACATAGCTCCAACCTGTCCAGCCCCAACATAGTTGTGAAATATGGCAGGGAGATCTCGCTGTTGGAGTATCCCAGTCATAAGAAGCCAGGGACTGACCCAGCTCACCAGGCTCGATCTATAACTAAAATATCACCCTTGTGTGGACTGATACTTTAATATTGTGCTATTAAAATTACCTTTAGCCCTCATTCACACGAGAAACGTCCAGCCCACACAGATCAGTGCTGTCTGCACGTCCGTACGGGTGCGGGTGTCCCTGCTCGGGCGCAGACAGGATCCATCCTGTCTGCGTACGGGTACGAACACCCGCACCCGTACGGACGTGCAGGTCAGGTGAGCGTAGGTCGGCATACGGCCGCATACTCCCATAGAGAAGGACAGACTGCTGCGTTTAATCACACGCAGCACCTGTCCTTCCCGGGACACGTTACAGCCATGCACACAGCACGGATCTGCATGGGCCGGCTGTTTCTCGCGTGAATGAGGGCTTAAGCCCTGAGATAGATTGTGATAGATTAACCAACAGCTTTGTAATGTGAGGGCCTTGCACTTCGGATAACCTGGATTTTAGGTAGGCCTCACACTGCATAGTTGTTGCTAAATCAAATGACGATTGTATTGATTTTGTACAATGAGATTGTAACATGTGTGGTGAGCTTTTTACATGTGAAAAACAAAATCCACAAATCCAGGCTTGTTTATGCAGATGCAGGATGTGTAGACATAATACTTTTTGGACCAGAAAAGTAATTTATTAAATAGCTCAGACATATTTTGTAACTGCAGCATCAGTAATGAGCAACATAATAGCTGTGTGTATGAGATGTATGCTCGGAATGTATCCATACTATGCAACCTGCACAACAGGGGACCAATCTCATTCCTACAACTTAAAACAATAGGAAACATGTGTTATCAGAGGCTGAAAATAGAAAAATAGCCAACAAAGCAGTCATGTCATAATAGAGAGAACACAGCAGATTATCTCTTCTAAGAGCACCTGTCATTTAGCAGCAGGCATAATAGGGGAGGGTTCCCAATGCAGACACTTTTGTTGGTCCTTTCACTGGGATGAATTTGTTGCCTTTTAAAGCATGGGCATTGCTAGTGCTGGGGACCCGGGGCACATGCCCTGCCATGAGTCCTGAGGACACGACTGCCTGACATTGTTTCTTGTTTTGGTGGCTGTTCAGAGCAAAGGAATGCTCCCCTTAGCCCCCCTCATCGCTGGTCACATCACACAGTCAAGTGAAGGACTTAACCTTATTCTGAACTGCTGCTACATCTGAGGTCTAGGTCTGGCAGCCAATCAGCATCGACCTTTCAAACCTTAACTGAACAAACTAAAGAGAAAAGCTGATTGGTTGCCATATGCAACTGCTTCAGATTCCTCTGCTCCAGTTTTGATAAATTCGCCTCAATGTATTTTGAAAATGTGTTTTATATACTTATTTTCCATTCTCCTTAGTGCCATCTGGCAGCCATCATAAAACATTACATAGGACAAAATTCAAAAATAGTTTGCCCGAGCAGCCCTACAAATTTTTTATACATAGACTATGTGTGCAAAGCCAGCTCCATGAAAACAATGAGTTTGGGGAGGAGAAATTCTAGTGTTCTGCACAGTTTTTTTTGTGTAAAGCACTTCCATGTGCATCTTATTTTAAAAGCTGGTAATGAATTGATGAGTGTGTTTGCCATTTGTTTCACATTTTGGATATGGTGTAGGGACACACTGAGGGATTCAGATGCCAATGTGATGTGCTGGGCTTCTGGTGTGTCCCTGTGCCGTTAAAGGAGAACTATGGGGTTAGGGCTTTTCCCCATAGTTATCCTTAGGGTAACGGGAGGACACAAACTAGCGTTCTCCCGTGACCCAAAGCTCAGTATATCGCAAGCTACAGCTCGCGGTATACTGAGATGCCGGAACGGATCCCGACATTGCTGTCGAGATCCACCCAGCTGCGGGATTGACAGCTGGCTCTGCCTATCCAGATTGGATAGATCGGGAAGTGAGCGAGCGACGGTATTTGTTCGCTCACTTCCCGATCTACTGAGCCGACCTGTGACAGTTTTATTGTCACAGGTCGGCTCAGATTATGAGGCTGAGTGAAAATCGCTCGCCTTATAATTCTCCTTAAGGAGAAATAGACCTCTGCACTCAATTCATCCTTTGCTATATATGCTCCAAGATGGAGGCTCTCAAAGATGAGAGTTAGGGCCAAACTACAAAGGGGGACCTTGACGAGGCAGTATGGCTTCCACATAGTTGTACAACTAAAATCTCCTTTCTGTAACCCTAATAGTTATACAGGGCAACTTGGTTTTTTTTTGCAGGCTAGCTGGTGACTGTGCTGGAAACTTTTGTTTTTGTCCTTCACAGATCGCTGACTTATAACCTACCTTTGGGATGAATCGGAATGTCAATTGCTAGTTAGGTCCCATCCCATCCCATCCCAAATCGGTGACCTGACCTCATAAATGCTCTTTTAGCCTATTAGGCACAAATTCCCACAGACACACTAGGAAGCCTTCCCAGAAGAGCGGAGGCTGTTATAGCCTCAAAAAGGGGGTAAAACTTCAAATGAATGCCCACGGTTTTGGAATGGGATATCCAACATGCTCAATGAGGTGCGAGGGTCAGGTGGCCACCAACTTTTGCCCAAGGAGTGTATTTTCATAGCTTCCCTTAGATAGAAATGTGGCAGAGGCCATTAGTAACTGGATTCTTGATTTGTTACAGTCGCTTTTTAACTTTATTGATCCTATTATTTGTAAGTTGTAGTTTGCATGCTTATGCTCCTGAATTCATTGTGTTGGGAATGAGCTTTTGCAAACATATGCTGCCACCTAGAGGACAAAGTGTAGCTGACGCCTGCTACCATTGCCATGTTGATCATTGTTTGCCAGCGGTGCAGCTTAGCATGAAGAAAGAGTGTTTATTTTTGCAAAAGAAAAAATAATAAAATCTCTTTACCAAACATGAAAGCTATGCAAGTGCTGAATTATAGATAATATGCTGTTTGAGTATTGGTTACATATGAGGCAATCTGAAATCTATGTAATAACACATAATACCACTTAGTAATAGCTGCGCTAGCTGCCAATTTGGAATTAGGCATCAGAGAGTGAGAGTGGATCACAGCAGTGACCATGGTGCTCAACGAAAGTTGGAGGAAGTGACAGTGTCTGAGCTGTTCTCGGGGGCTGTGTTCCCAAAAGGCCTGTGCCTTGAAAAGCAGTGCAGAGGGGCAAAGCCAAAGAACTACATTTAGACATTATACTTCTAGCCAGGGGCAGGGGCATATCTACGGCAAGGCAAACAAGGCCTTGGGCGGCACTTTCCAGGGGGGGGTGGCAAAAAA